AAAACCTTTAACTAACAAGGCAACCAATCTTTAATTGTTCTTTTAAATTTAAAAACCTAAAGAAGCGGTTATCAAAAAATGTTTTTACATTTACTGGTGACGTGTGGAGGGGGGGGGGGTATGAGTTGGGGGGTGAGGAGCGGTGTGAGTGAGGTAGAAAAATAAACAGCAGTGCAGTTTGATTTTATCCAGACAATCAAATGCGATCAACAAATCAATCGATTTCGAGTAATCGAACTTTTTTCAATGCAGTTACAGGGGAGAGTATCGAACTCTTTTCAGTGTGGGAATCGAACTGTAAAGCGTTGGCTGAATGCGGTATTCGGTCACGTGGGGTACCACACAAGATGGCGCGATAAACAGTCGATTGGGCAGAATAATGGCATCACATTTGTGGGGTCGTCTACTGAAACACTGACAGCAGGCGATCATGGTTTAGTCATTGTGTCATGACCTGACACCAACATTCACTCAATACGTGACACAGAATTTATCACACCATCGTTCACTCAATACATGACACCATCATTCACTCAATATGTGACACCATCGTTCACTCAATACATGACACCATCATTCACTCAATACATGACACCATCGTTCACTCAATACATAACACCATCATTCACTCAATACATGACACTAACATTCACTCAATACATGACACCATCATTCACTAAATACATGACACCAACATTCACTCAATACATGACACCATCATTCACTAAATACATGACACCAACATTAATACATGACACCAACATAACTCACGATCTGACCAACTAATTCACTCACACACCCACCCTAGCTTTAGACTAACACAATTTGTGACGTACCTACGGTCAGTGTGTTGTATTTAACGTCAAATATCGCGCATAGTCACAGAAATAGTTACAGAAATGTCACAGAAATAGTTACACAAATGTCACAGAAATAGTTACACAAATGTCACAGAAATAGTTACAAAAATGTCACAGAAATAGTTACACAAATGTCACACACATGTCACAGAAATGTTGCAGAATGTTACAAGCTATTTCCAAAAGACAGCTAATTTAAGTGGTTTTTTTTTACCGTGACGTCATTTGCAAAATTTGAAACATCTTCGGGTTTGTTGTCTCGCAGCCAACATAATTTTTCGAGCCTAATTAGTTTTTAAAAACTTTAAATCAATTTAGACCCTAATTAGTTTTTATTTTAACTATAATTATTCAGTTGAATTTTTTTGTTCGCGCTTTCGTTTCAGTTCAGTTCTAAACTTGTTTGTTCAAATATTTTAGATGTTTTAATTTTTAAAGAATGAAGAGGACGATATATACATTGCATCGTTGTCAATTGAAGTTAACACTTATCAAAGTATGCTTGAGTTGTATACGTTTTCTTTTACGTATTTTCCAAATTTTCCAAACCACACCTAGACCGGTCTATGTGAAACTTCTATTTCTGAATTATTTGATTCATATTCTGACTTCTGATTCTGACTTCTGATTCTGACTTCTGACAGAGATCTTTGACTGATGTCCAAAATTCAATTCTTCTTCACAATCCGCTAAACATTCCGTGAAATCCATTTTCTTAAAGCGAAAGTATGTTGCTCAGTCCACACCTGAAACAACCAAGAGAAGTCACTCGTCATTCCTACAAGAAATGTTCCTTATTTACCTCCCCTTCTGTTTATTTGAGGTCCACCATCTGAGAAGCTGGGACTTTCTTTATTCAAACACATGACCATATATGGTTAACGAGATGACGTGTATGTGGATCGTCCGCCTATAAACCAACGGCAAAAACTTTGATGTACCTCTCCAGCCAATCAACGAGAGACAACGGGCGTCACGTGTTCAACTGAGCCGGTTATTTCTCGGCAGTAGCCGGAGAAAGCTCTTGCGCTGTTTTCAAATTTAACGAGCGCTTTCGACACCCCGAGTGTCATTTAAAGCCAATCAGGTTTTTCCGGCTAGCCTGCCCGCCGTGAAGTGCAGCTGGTGATGACACCTCGCTCGGAGACTTGTGCTCTCTGGGCAGAACGGAGAAATTTACATGACAAATGTCTGGGGGCGGCAGTAAAGTTTGTTCAGAGTTAAAGGTCCTTCAATGTGGAGTCATTGGGGTCAAAGGAGTCATTTGCCCTATCTTGGCGAGTCACTGGAGTCATTTGCCCTATCTTGGGGAGTCACTGGAGTCATTTGGCCTATCTTGTGGGGTTACTGGAGTCATTTGCCCTATCTTGTGGGGTCGCTGGAGTCACTTACCTAATTTTGGGGAGTCACTAAAGACAATCACACCAACCGGTCCCACCTTACTGCCCCCCCCCCCCCTAGTCCTCCTTTGCCCCCAACAACCGATGAAACTTTTATCTAATAAAGCCCAACACCAACCTTGTCATTTCCTTAAAGTGTCCACAGTTTCTTTCAGATCTTAAACACAACAATACTGGCACCATCTTAGAGCCGGCACCACGAGACAACCACAAGTCAACCACAAGTCAACCACGGCTTGCAAGATTTAGATTTAGGTGGTTAAAAAACCAAAACCTTGATTCACAGACAAAATGGTATCCAAGCAAGCTAAACTGGACTCAAAAAGTTTCTCTCCAGAAAGAAAACGAAACAATACTGTACAAGAATTTATTTTTTTTCTTTCCCCCGACACAAAGCACAGCGGGTTGTCTGCCGTTTGTTGGATGCTAAAAGTTTCCGGTTAAAATTTTTTTGTTCAACGTAGTCAAGTTTTTAAAAAAAAAAATGTTTATGTGTGTAGGAAACGTCTAAAGAGGCAAGGAGCAGGCCTAAGATTCATTAGGCTGGTCCGTGGTAGGGTGACGCTTCAATGAGTTTTCTTATAATAATTTTATTGTCGCGTTTAATCGCGAGGTATTTAAACAAAATTTATTGCTTTCGAAATATGAATAATGCAACGTAAATGTATCTGACGTGTGTAAGTTTGGGATGGTCAAGGGATATGTGACGTCATTCACTGTATGGTGTTGATGGCTGGTTTTGATGACTTGGATATAAAATGTAAGTGACTTAAATATAGATGACTTGGATATAGGAAAAAGATGATTTGGCTACATATGACTTTGGCTTGAGATGACTAGGCTTTAAATGACTTGACTACATATGACTTGGCTTTACATGACTTGGCTACATATGACTAGCGGTAGAGATACTGTTTGGGATCCTAGAGCTACTACACGGGACCCTAGAGCTACTATGTGGGACCTTATAGCAACGTGGGACCCTAGAACTACCATGTGGGACCCTAGAACTAGCTACATGGTGGGACCCTAGAACCACTATACGGGACCCAGCGTTCCACTCATGCAATTCACTCCCGTTTTCAGAAAAATCCCATAACAAAAGAATAAAGTTGTAAGCTTCCATAAACTAGTGAAGATAAATCCAGAACATTCCAGATTTTTAACACGAACTTTTTTTTTACAAACTTTCCCTCTAGCGGAGAAATGTTACAAGGAATTTTTTGTATAAAAATATTTTCAGGGATATCTCCACTCAACATTACACTTCGCCAACGATGCTTCAAGAAAGGCTATAGAATTTGCTTTCCTTATTAACAATTCAGGAAAGGCTGAATTGAATTAAAAACAGCTAAAATAAAAGTAAAAATTAATTAGTTTTCTTCCTTATGTTCGGTCTATTGATTAATTTTTTGTGTGCAATAAATTTTACTGCTGGGAATCTATTTTAGGATTGTCTATTTTATGCGATTTCTGAGTCTTGTGGTCGAGTTTCTTGTAATCCGATGACGTAGAGGGGTGGGGGTGTCGGTCACTACCACCCCTCTATTGACCAACACACTTATATGACCAATGACCCATACACAGTTCCGGAACTTTCCATCGTAAGTTATTAGTAGATAAACTTGTAGCAGAAACTTTGAGAGCCATTACCTCCCCCCCCCCCCCTGTAAGTATGTTCTAGGTTGTGCTATGTAGTCTCGTGATTTCAGCTGGACATTGAGATGGTGGTGATGTGGTGATGATGGGTCGATCAACACATTTGATATCATTGAGCCCGTGGGTGGGGGTGTCACATTTCTCCACCCACAACATCATGTGTAGGACTATAACAAACTACAGGACTACGTGTAGGACTATAACAAACCACAGGACAATACGTGTAGGACTATAACAAAATATAGGACAATATGTGTAGGACTATAACAAACCACAGGACAATACGTGTAGGACTATAACAAAATATAGGACAATATGTGTAGGACTATAACAAACCACAGGACTATAACATTAACAAACCAGTGTGAAATAAAACCAAAACTAGAGTGATATCTTCGATCAATTTATTTTCAGTTACAAGACATTAGTGACATTTTTTTACTACTCATTTTTTTTTTTGCTTGACTGCGCTCAACAAACAAAACATAGGGAGGGGAGGTGAGAGGAAGTGACGTCAGTGAATTATGGCCAGTAACTTTGGGAGAAGCTGGGAGAACAAATGAAGAGGTGCAGGGGTGAGAAAGGCTGGTCCAAAGTCCGCGAGGTCCCTGCAGAGTTGTCCCTACACAGTTGTCTCTACACAGTTGTCTTTAGGGCATTGAAGAAAAAAAAAAAAAATTTTTTGTTTAAAATAAAACGTATCTGAACCAGCCATAGAAATCTGTACAAATGTCATTAGCACTCTGCTCATCAAATTAAAAAAAAAAATCTGTACACACACACACACACTAGTTTTGAAAGAATTTTTTTATACCAGATACTGAACGGGACCTTTGAGCCAGGCTCGCCCAGGTGAAGCTACCTTAAAGTTACCTGGAGCGTCAACCAACAGGTGGGCCTGTGTAAACACTACTGGTCGGCCATGTTTGCTCCAGCCCTTGATTGGAGAACAAAGTTTTCTTCACGTGAGGGTAATTAGTTTCATTCAATCCAAGGCCAAGTAACGATCAAGGCAGAAATAAGTCAGAGATAGGCAGCTGGTGTCTTCTGGTTACATCTGCTGGTCGGGGGGGGGGGGGGGGGACATATCTGGGCCAGACCAGGGTCAGTGTTTGGGGTCATAGTCAGTCAAATGTTGGTCAGGGTGTGGGGGGGGGGGGGGGACAGACCAGGACTCGTGTTTTAGCGTTAGGGTCAGCCATCAGCTAGAGGTCGGCTGTCTAGAGCTGATCTTTTGTCTGCCCTGAGGTTGGAAGTGGAGAAAATGGGTCTAAGTATTGACTGGGTTTTGTTATGGCAAATCTAAGCTCAAACCAGTGGTCAAAAGTCTGTTAACCACTGTCTAGGTTAAGCCTAACACTGACCAGTGGTCAACAGACAACACACAGCTGCCCGTCTAGAAAGAAAAAAAAAACCTGTTGAAGGCAGATCTCCCAGTCAGAGAAACAGAAAAGTGAACAGAAGAAATCCATGCTGTGGGGCATGGCTATTTACAGTGTGGGGGCATGGGCAGCAGGACAGCTATGGACAGCATGACAGCTCCACATGGACAGCATGACAGCTCCATATGGGCAGCCCGACCCAGGGGACAATGTCTGGGGTCTCAACATGGGACTTGCTAGTGCAGGGGTCGTAAGTTCGGGGATAGGGAGGGTGTGTCATCCTTTACTGGGTAAAGAGCCGTTCAGTATATTTATGTATCTATATACATACAGCTAGTTAGGGCCGATATACATTTGTAGTTTTTTGGCCTGATAAAAAGGAACGTGTTTCATCGTTCAAGGAGTTTTAGTGGCCGAGTGGTTGTAGGTAGCTGACCTCTGCACTAGCGGCCAGGTGTCTAAGTTGGCCATCACCTACGGCCAGACCTTGGCCATAGCTAGTGGCCAGATATGTACATGGGCCACCGGCTGTAGGCGAGTACCAACAGCTGCCCGTCCCACGCAGAGACCAACAGACAGACAGACAAACAGCGAGAAACAAGGAGACGACAAATGCCATTTAAAATACTGCCAGAACTAGAACCAAAGACGCCTCTGCTACAATGCTGTTATGATTGCCAATACAAATTGTACTTCTGTCAGCTTGCTTTCAAACCAGTAACATTTTATTCATTAATGATAACAGGAAGAGAGAAAAAAATTAATGAGGGGGTCAAAGATCAGAGTGACATTAACCTGACTGTCACCATATCACTGGTGACATAACATCACTGGTGACATATGACATTAATGGTGACATTTGAAATGACAACCACCATGAAAATGGTTTAATAGGAACATTCAGCGATCATATATGTAGACCAGTCTTATTGCTATCAAACATGTTCAGCTTTAAAAAAAACGTACAAATATTGAATCAAACATTTCATGAAATAAAACCTCTATAAATATTGGATACAACAACAGATCCTAGAAATAAAAACCTACATAAATATTGAATAAAACAACAGTACCTGTAAGAGCATATTATGAGTTTTTTTTTTGGAAGGCTAGTGGGCTTTGGTGGGTTGGTTTTAGATGGCACTGACACATGGTCCGCCTAGTGCCACAAGGTCCACCTAATGACACTGACACAAGGTCCACCTAATGACACTGACACGAGGTCCACCTAATGACACTGACACGAGGTCCACCTAGTGCCACAAGGTCCACCTAATGACACTGACACAAGGTCCACCTAATGACACTGACACGAGGTCCACCTAGTGACACAAGGTCCACATAATGACACTGACACGAGGTTGACCTAATGACACTGACACAAGGTCCCCCTAACGCCACTTGACCCCTCTAAAGCTGCACCACTAGCCTTATCTACTGCCATCCAAAATGTACTAGCAGTAATGTCTATGTTATGTATGAAGTAACACATATTACAATGTATGAAGTCAACACATATTACAATGTATGAAGTCAACACACGTTATGTACATTATTTAGACCAGACCAAGGCTAATCTCCAGATTTTTCGGGTCTAAAATTGCTGCTCCATCTGGACACAAGTAATTAACACAATGGCTGTTAGGCGAGAACCAACTGTACTGGGTTCTAATCCAAGCAAGAATCAGATAGTGTGGAGGTCGGCTGCTAGTTCTTCTATCTAAGCCAGTGTCAGACTTAGATAGCCAAAAACAAAGTCATGATCAAATTTGGGTTGAAAAATTACCGACAAAATTTAATTAGCAGCTGTGGTTGGTAGTACCACATATAGACAGTTCTACTGTTTGTAGAGAAAGTTTGTATAAAAACAAACAAGTTTGTACAGACAAAAGTTTGACTAATTAGAAAAGTACTATGAAAAATCCATGCAAAAGTAGCAATAAAGAGAAATGATATCAATTTTGGGATTATCATATTTCTGTACACATGTAACTTGTAAGGTTGGTGTACACAGTCTGGTGTACACATGTCAGTGGGACCATGCCAGGCTAGTGACATGTCATGCCAGGCTAGTGACATGTCAGGCTAAGACATGTCATGTCCGGCTAAGACATGTCATGTCAGGCTAGTAACATGCCCGCCTTGACTTGATGATCCAGACTTTCACTGGAGAAGATTAACAAACTTGTAAAAAAAAAAAACTTGATCAAAGATTTACAAAAGCCTCCATCAAGTTGAATGTGTACAATGTACACTAAGCTGTACGTAGCCCGCCCACCCCGCCCATTTAGCTCAGCCCCCATCTTAGTGGGCTTGGTTAGTGTCAAGTTAAAGTTTACAAACATGGCGACCTTAGTCAAGTCAGTTCACCTCAGTACGATGAATTATTAGGCACAAATGCTATAACATATGGCGTAACCATAGCAACAAGCAACACTATCAGAGTCCGTGTGGTGTGAGAGAGAATGACCTGGGCTACTTGTGGTGATTGCACCGGAACTGTTCCCTAAGCTACAATAGTAATGGCAAGATGCGGCCTGCCCCACGTCTAGACAGGGTGACAGCCTTGAGAGTCAAGTCAAAGGTCAAAGGTTAACAAATGGACATGCACTCGGGCTGATCCTGCTGGTCCTGATGCTGCTCCACCTTGGCGTTGTGGTCGTTCTCACACTTGGCCAGCTTGTTCTTCTCGGCGTTCAGGTCGAGAACCTCCTTCATCAGAGGCTGGATGCCCTCGGGGTTGATCTTGAGCAGCACCTGGGAGTGCTCCTCGTTCAAGTTGCGGATGTCCGTCAGCTTCATGAGCAGTTTTGGATACATCCAGCGGATGACGTGCGGAGGATGTTTCGACTCGAGGTACCGCAGTAACAGCAGGGCGTAGCGCTCCTGCTCCTCAGCCACGTAATGCTTGTCTGAGATCTGCGGCCGGTCGGGTGAGTAGAGTGCGATCATCAGCAGGAGGATGAGCACAGTCTCGTCTGCCTGAAGGTCCACGGCCAAGCTCTTGACAAACCGCATGTGCTCGTCAAACAAGCCGGAGCCCTGACCCATCTTGAGTTGGTCCGTCGTCATGGCGTACTTCTCCTTGTCGTACGGGTCCAGGAACTGCATCTTGTCGCAGTCGAAGGTGATGACGGAGCGGATGATGAGCAGCTCGATGCTGCCGCCCTTGAGCAGGCTGATCTGGTCGGCCTGAGACAACGCCTTGAAGGATTTGATCTTCTTGGACATGTCGATGACGCGTCTGACGCTGATCTCAGCGATGTTGACCAGCTCTGTCATGGAGGGGTGGTGCCGGGACACCTCGGACTCCACGCAGATCTCCAGGCTCTGGTGGTAGGCGCTGACGATCTCGCTGATGGCCGTCTCTTCCTCGGGCTCCAGCGGCCGCAGGCGGGGTGAGGCTGATGACGTAATGTCCATGCTCTGCTGTATCTTGGTACGGTCCACCTCACGAAATTTGCTGTAGACAAGAAAACATTTCGATTCCGTTTCAAACATACAACTTGTCCATTCAGTTTACGGTATACAAACTGGGGTGGGGGGAATGTTTAATTGAATGACGTGTAAATTAAACCACAGGCCATCTGATCAATACTTCATTTATTGTAATCAATTATGAAAGAAGTGAATTTGGATATTTAAACTCAATTTTTAGATTAAAAACTGTACTTTCATGCAAATTTTAAAGTTGCTTTTTTTTCTTGATGTAGATCTAGTTACTTGTGCTATAATGTGATAACATTCAGGGCTGCGTTTTTACTCGACATCAAGAGCTCGGTGATAACTAGTTTACAATCAAGTAACTAATAAAATAACAGTAACAACAACAGCCAAAAATATAAGGGAGAGGAGTCTGTTTTTTTCTTCCCTCCCTTTCAATAAAAATTTCACCCTAACAAACACTGGTGATGGGAGTAGACTGGATGAGTCTACTCCCCCCCCCCCCCCCACCCCGTACACAGAGCACCCCCAGTAGTTTAAAAAATAGTTGAAGCCTCACCATTCTGGCTGCTTTCCTGTTGATCTTTGACTGAGAAAGGGAGAGGAGAAATCATCATTAGACATGTGTACACAATGGTCTCACTGGTACACGTGTACACACTCCTGTGTACACGTGGACACACCTTGTGAGCAAGGGTTACAACATAAAGGTGTACTAAGGTAAGGTGTACTAAGGTCAAGGTGTACTAAGGTCAAGGTGTACAAAACATAAAGGGACATAAGTGTACACGTACAACAGTAAGACAATGTGTGTAAGGCAATGTGTGTGAGCATTGTGTGTGAGCAATATGTGTGAGCAATGTGTGTGAGCAATATGTGTAAGACAATGTGTGTAAGCATTATGTGTAAGGTAATGTGTGTAAGCATTGTGTGTAGGCAATATGTGTAAGACGATGTGTGTAAGCGATGTGTGTAAGCAATGTAAGGCAATAGTTCCCTGTAAGACAACATTTAGTGATCGTGTTGACAACTGACACACAGACTGGTCAAAGTTTGTTTCAATATGTCAATAATAATTACGTCACCTTATGTAAGTGTTCATATATAAACAATGGTTGCATCTGCTTATATATGAGTTCATAAGTCTTCTAAATATTTTTGTGACATGCAGTTTTATAACTGTATTTCTTTATGCCTGTCTACTATAAGTGTCAATTGTTTGACTAAATGATTGCTGTATTCCTGACTGACTTATGTATGACTGACTGACTTATGTATGACTGACTGTCTGTCGTGTGACTGACGGACAACATCCACCATCAATTACCGGTTCTCCTCAATCCTCTGACGTTTCCTCATCTTCTCCTCGTCTGTGAGGATGTACTCCTTCCTCATGCCGATCTCAAAGCATTTACGTAACCGGCACCTCTTGCAGAACCTCCTGTTTGACACGTCCATCTTACATTTCTCTTCGTAAGGACATTTGAAGTAGTCCTGTGGAGGACACAAACAGGACAGTGGTCAGAATTAAGTGGAAGTGTAACGGTCAATGCAAAACTCATAAAATCTTAAGACCTCTTTAAAAACCATGGAAATGGAAATGCAAGGACCACTGTAAAACCCATGAAATGTGTGTACTGTAAAACCAATGAAATGTAAGTGAGTACTGTAAAACCAATGGAATGTGTGTACTGTAAAACCCATGAAATGTGTGTACTGTAAAACCAATGAAATGTAAGGTGTTCTGTAAAATCCATGAAATGTAAGTGAGTACTGTAAAACCCATGAAATGTGTGTACTGTAAAACCCATGAAAGTGTAAGGTGTACTGTAAAACACATGAAATGTGTACTGTAAAACCCATGAAATGTGTACTGTAAAACCCATGAAAGTGTAAGGTGTACTGTAAAAGCCATGAAATGTGTACTGTAAAACCCATGAAATGTGTACAGTAAAACCCATGAAAGTGTAAGGTGTACTGTAAAACCCATGAAATGTGTGCTGTAAAACCCATGAAATGTGTACTGTAAACCCCATGAAATGTGTACTGTAAAACCCATGAAACGTGTACGGTAAAACACATGAAATGTGTACGGTAAAAGCCATGTGTACAGACCCCAGGCGAAAAAAGCCTGTACTGTAGGAGGTATCTTATGTTTATCTGGTCTAAATATAGACACAAGGTCAACCGCGTTACTGTTGCACTGGATGACCTAGATAGAGCGACAAGAAAGATTTATGTGTGTGCCGTGCTATTTGGGAGTGTCAAGTTTGTGCGTGTCAAGTTTGTGAGTGTCGAGTATACACTAACAAGTCGCACGACGCCATCATGTAATAGGCACCAGACAAGTACATCAGCATGTAATAGATTACACCAACATGTAATATACATATTACACCGACACATTACAACTAACAAATTACATCCATAAATTACAAGAACCAGTTACACTAGAAAATATACAGCTTACAACAGATTTAAAAAAATTATAAACAGAAATAAAAATAGAACGAATAAACAACGAACACAAATTTAGATTGAACTAATAGCTAATTTATACAACTGGTACTTAACGCAAACAACTTTTGTTTTTCAAAATTTGGATACAGAACTACAAGAGACAGACGAAAATTAGATATAGAACTATAACTAAACAAACGAACAAAAATTGGATAGAGAACTATAACTAAACAAAAATTGGATAGAGAACTACAAACAAACGAACGAAAATTGGATATAGAACTATAACTAAACAAACAAACAAAAATTGGATATAGAACTATAACTAAACAAACAAACAAAAATTGGATAGAGAACTATAACTAAACAAAGAAACAAAAATTGGATATAGAACTATAACTGAACAAACAAACAAAAATTAGATATAGAACTATAACAGAACAAACAAAAGAAACTTAACAAAAAGTTTACATAGAACTACAAGAAACTTAACAAAAAGTTTACATAGAACTACAAACAAACCAAGAAAAATAAGATATAAAACTACAACAACCGAAAGTTGGAAATAGAACTACAACAAACTAACACCAATTTGATATGGAACTACAACAATCCAACAAAGACGCCGTAATGCACACAGCTAACAAAGAGATATAGGAAGATTTATATATGTGTGTGTGTGGGGGGGGGGGGATAGAGAAAGTGTGACGGACTACAAACGTGTACATTTTGTATCTTTATAGAACAGCAGAACTGTTAATACATTCTCAAACAATAATTCTAAATCTAATCTCAACAATAATCCTACATATAATCCCAACCATAATCCTACATTTAATCCCAACAACAATCCTACATCTAATCCCAACAATAATTCTACATTTAATCCCAACAATAATCCTACATTTAATCCCAACAATAATCCTACATCTAACCCTAACAATAATCCTACATCTAATCCCAACAATAATCCAACATTTAATCCCAAAAATAATCATACATCGAATCCCAAAAATAATCCTATTTCGAACCCCAACAACAATCCTACATCTAATCCCAACAATAATCGAACGATAATCCAACATCTAATCCAAAAATAATCCTACATCTAATCCCAACAATAATCGAACGATAATCCAACATCTAATCCAAAAATAATCCTACATCTAATCCCAACAATAATCGAACAATAATCCAACATCTAATCCAAAAATAATCCTACATCTAACCGCAACAATAATCCTACATCTAATCCCAACAATAATCCTACATCTAATCCCGACACAATGGTTTAGACGGCCACTGTACTTTTATGCCAGAAATAATTTTTTTCACTGCTGATAAGGTCCGACTGGTTTTTGTTGAGAGGTTGATGTATGTATGTATGTGTGAGAGTGTATGTGTGTGTGAGGGGGGGGGGGCAAGTCAAGGAAGTTGTGTAGATGTTTGATGGATGTCTGTTGCTGACGTGTGTTACCTAGTGCTAACGTCATCCACATTTGATACAGGCATGCACACTGACGGAATGTTGCATTTCTTTACATTTATATCGGGAACTTACGTTTTACATTTACAGTTTTGGAAAGTTATGTTTTTGATAGCCACACGATCGGAAAGTTTCTTGATAGCTACAGGATCAGAAAGTTTCTTGATTTCTAGACTATCGTAAAGTGTCTAGTAAAACTACGTTCTATCATATCCTACACATCGAGTGTTAACTACTCATCTTCCAAATATACATCTGTAGCATGAGTGTTTGTAACTCATGCACGCTACACGCCATCTTTACCACACACAACATCCGCCTGACTACCATAAACACCCCCTCCCTCCCCCACACTGCTTTGATTTTTGTGTGTTTTAAAACGAGCCAGGTGGGTTAGTGAAGAGGAACCAACCGTCTTAATGCCGGGGAATTGTGGGAATTGTGGGAATTGTGGGAATTGTGGGAATTGTGGGAATTTTGGGAATTTTGGGAATTGTGGGAATTGTGGGAATTGTGGGAATTGTGGGAATTGTGGGAATTTTGGTCAGGCTACGGAGAGGACAGCCCTCACAAGGACACACAGACTAACGACAAACATCCATGTTTGCAAGTTGCGTCCCTGGCCCTGGGGGGAGGGGGTTGTTGGAGGAATCTGGCCACTGGCCATACGGGGGGGGGGGGGGAGATGTCGTAAACAGCTGGCCAATGGCCAGTGCAAACACAAAAAACTTTAGTCTTTTGAAAAATACAAGTTTTGTCTGATGAAGCTTGGTTTGATTACACCGTAATGAGATTAAAAAAAAAAAACATGTGCCTTCATTCATTCTACTGATCTGTCTAGTGATTTAGTGAAGTGGCGTCGCTAGGTCGGATGACATTCGGTATGAACCCCCCCCCCCCCCCACTCCACCAACGATTGTACTTAAGTCCTAAACCTATAGAAAATTTGATGTTTCCCCCATCACGAAAAATGTCGCCCTTTGCCCTAAGATGCCTCAATAATTACACGAAATGGGGCAGCACTTTCATTCAAATTGGCAGCCTTTCGTTGTTACGTCACACTCTTTAATGGTGTCATCCGGTGCGGTCAGCACCCCCTACCCCCGGCATGTGACGTCAGATGTGGTGTCCAGTGTTTTGTCTGATGACCTATAGCTGTACACGGGACGGGAATATCCGAAAAACTTACCAGGCCTTTGGGCGCGTTCCGCCTAAAGAAAGCTTTACACGACTCGCAAGAGATGGCGTCAAAGTTGTAGCCCAGGGCCCTGTCGCCGCACACCCCGCAGTACTTGTCCTCTTTGTTTTTCCGGGCCTTGCCGCACCCCATGCCGTCCGTGGGGGAGTGATCCAGGGAGCGGTAGTGGTGGGGCATGTGCTCCATACCGCCTGGGTCATCAAAACTGGAAAACATTCAAAGGTTCAGGGTTAGTGCTTGGTACAAGAAAAGGTTTAGAGACGGGTTGGTTCAGGGTTAGTGGTTGGTACAAGAAAAGGTTTAGAGACGGGTTGGTACAGTTTTAGTGTTGCCTACATGTGTTGCAACAAGTAGAATCCACAAGTTGTCGTTAATTAATACAGAGACAACAAGATCTTTTACTGTACAGGCGTTCCAGTTTGAAACAAGAATTTAATTACACATTTGTAAATTACATACAAATTACACATTTGTAAATTACATACAAATTACATTTGTAAATTACATACAAATTACATTTGTAAATTACATACAAATTACACATTTGTTTACACATTTGTAAAAACACATTTGTAAATTACACATTTGTAAATTACACTTTTGTAAATACACATTTGTAAATTACACTTTTGTAATTTACACATTTGTAAATTACATATTAGTAAGAGGCTAAAACCCATGGCCGCAATAAGACTTATTTTGCCAAACATCAAGTGCAGGGCGCATGTTTGTACCCTACAGAATGTAGGTTGGTTTTACTTTAACGCTACTTTTAATGCGCAGTTAACTGTCGCAGATTAGCCCCACCTAATGCACAGCTAAAGCCCATTGAACTGTTACGCAACAAACAAGTGCACGCAATAGACAAAAGAACCGTGGGATACGCTAGTGAACAGGAATGATACAAAAGAATTCTTCGATACGCTCATGAGCAGGCCTAAAAGAATGCTTCGATACGCTCATGAACAGGCCTAAAAGAATGCTTCGATACGCTACAAGGTGTGTGTATTTGAGAAACAAAAGAATGCCTCGATACACCAGTAAATTGATTAGTTAGTTCGATACCGTGAAGGTAAAGCCGTGTGTCTGTGTGTGTGTGTGTGTCTGTGTGTGTGTGTGTCTGTGTGTGTGCGCGCGTGTGTGTGTCTATGTGTGCGTCTGTGTGTGTGTGTTAGCACCAAGTACACACAACAACGGTGCATTCTGACACACACATCAACTATGTATTACTACACATCACGCCGCTCTCAGCGTCATTACACATTACAGAGGTGGGTGTTGTATACAGGTACACACACGTGGAGGTATACAAAGGTAAAAAAAATGAGCATGTTGACAAAGGTATAGTGTGGTTACGTCACTCTAGGGATCCATCTTACGTTTAATAAACGACACAAATATTAGACAATATACATATTACACGACATATATATTACAGGACATTTATGTTACACGATAGACATATTATACGACATACATTTTATTCAACACACTTCCTGAGCTAAATGTAACAATTTCTATTTATAACTGTTATATACTTCTTGTATTCGATACATTAACTGATATAATTAAATAACTAATTAAGCTTCATGTAAATAAAAACGTGTGCTGATGCTAATAAGAGTTGAAATAATTGAAAACGTTTCCACGGAGGTTTGCATTACGTTCCAGCTTTCAAAACATAGACGATTGTGGAAACACAAGGATAGCGTCTTGCGTTCTACTGAAGGTATGGGGGGAAGGGGGGGAAGAAAGGCGAGGGGTGGGTGCGACAAGGCGTGACGGGCGTACAAGACCAACCCAGGAGTTGGCTGCTAGTCAATAGCTGGCACGCCGCCAGGGTTCAGCCGGTACACTGCACAGTTCACACCGCGCGTACCACAAAGCCACATATTGTGTGTCGGCGTGTCAGCGACTAGTGAGATAGCATCACATCCTCCACCAACCCACCAAGTCCACCTACAGCGGCAGTTGCTGCCACAATCTGCGCCACGGGAAAACCAACATTTCAAATCTACTTGCTTATTATTTATTTACGCAGTCAATTTTCTTTTTAAAAAAATGACGAAACTTTTTTACGAGTTTTTCCCCCTGGATTAAACATGCCTACGCCATATTTTCCTAATTTACCATAGCCCGGGCTTACGTTTGGTGCCATTAATTAGTTCCCACTGATAGAGTCATAGCTGCTATCCCTAGATCAGTTCTAGAGATTTCATTTTTTTATGTTGGCTACGGTTCGTTAGATGGTCGACACTGCACAGAACGGATTAGAAATGTGTTGGTGTAGTCGTCAATTAGTTGGTGATGGCGTAGTATGGGTACTGTGGGCTGACTTGGCTCGGGACTAGAGCTGCCGTTAGTGCATGAGGTAGGGCGCTAGATCCAGACTTTCAACGTAACATCTTTTGACATGTGTAAAGAAAATCCCACCAATCTTTTGAAATGTGTATGAAATAAAATCCCACCAATCTTTTGAAATGTGTATGAAATAAAATCCCACCAATCTTTTGAAATGTGTATGAAATAAAATCCCACCAATCTTTTGGCATGTGTAAATCAAATCCCACCAATCTGTTGAAATGTGGTTTAAATCAAATCCCACCAATCTTCTGAAATGTGGTTTAAATCAAATCCCACCAATCTTCTGAAATGTGGTTTAAATCAAATCCCACCAATCTGTTGAAATGTGGTTTAAATCAAATACCACCATGTGGAATGTGTCAAACCCCACCAACAGGTAGTAAAAAGGTGAACCTAACGGTGACCAGAGAGGTCAGGTAGCCGGGAGGTCACGAGGTACACTGTCCAGGTGTGACCGCTTGACCTTGTGACAGAGTTCACCATTGAATGGGGCGGTCAGCCCTGCCTGGGTGAGAGAAATGGCTTGACAAATTGTGTTCAGGCTAGGCCTATTCGGTACATGGGCTTGTACAAGCTAGATTCGGTACATGGGCTTGTACAAGCTAGATTCGGTACATGGGCTTGTACAAGCTAGATTCGGTACATGGGCTTGTACAAGCTAGATTCGGTACATGGGCTTGTACAAGCTAGATTCGGTACATGGGCTTGTACAAGCTAGATTCGGTACATGGGCTTGTACAAGCTAGATTCGGTACATGGGCTTGTACAAGCTAGATTCGGTACATGGGCTTGTACAAGCTAGATTCGGTACATGGGCTTGTACAAGCTAGATTCGGTACATGGGCTTGTACAAGCTAGATTCGGTACATGGGCTTGTACAAGCTAGGCCGATTCGGTACATGGGCTTGTACAAGCTAGGCCTATTCGGTACATGGGCTTGTACAAGCTAGGCCTATTCGGTACATGGGCTTGTACAAGCTAGGCCTATTCGGTACATGGGCTTGTAAAAGCTAGGCCTATTCGGTACATGGGCTTGTACAAGCTAGGCCTATTCGGTACATGGGCTTGTAAAAGCTAGGCCTATTCGGTACAACAGCTTATACTAGCTAGGCCTATTCGGTACATGGGCTTGTAAAAGCTAGGCCTATTCGGTACAACAGCTTATACTAGCTAGGCCTATTCGGTACATGGGCTTGTAAAAGCTAGGCCTATTCGGTACAACAGCTTATACTAGCTAGGCCTATTCGGTACATGGACTTGTACACGCTAGGCCTTTTCGGTATACAGCTTATACAAGCTAGGCAGATTCGGTACATCCGCATGAAAACTATGATCGGTCTAAAACACACACTTCATTTCGAGACCGAGACTTAATCAGCGAATTCTAAACCTAATTAACATTTCCGCATTTCTTGACCGATCAAACCATTACAAGAGCTACGGATAAAAAGAAAACAGCAGATATGCGTCTGCCGACTGTCGATACGGAAAAGTAAACAATTTAAATAAATTGATATTTTAAAAATAGACATTAATAGATATTTCTTTTAAAAAATATGTAATATTTATAAAATAGATATTATTATAAAAGATATTTTTTTTTTAAAATAACTAAATTTAATATAACATACATGTATATATAGATTTTAAACTGTTAACTTTGATGTTTCCGGCAAAGTTGGTTGAATACAACTCGACTACAAACTAAGAACTTATTTTTTAAAAGTGACGAAATCAGTTTAAACAGTGAAACAGTTGAAACAACAGAATGTAGACCAGACTTAGCGGTAGAGGTTGTGGTAGAGGTTGTGGTAGAGGTTGTGGTCTCCTCCACCGTTCAGGTTAGAGCTCCAGGCTAGAGAATATGTGCCTTCTATTTTTAGCCGGATGTAATGAGCAGTTAAACAAGTATAAGTACTCGTGACGTCATGCACCTGATTTCAACTCACTAATGACAAACGCTGTGGTAAAATCATTAAGCAACAGATCGCCTACATTTGCTAATTATTGATCAGTTACATCAGACTGATTTGCTGACACACACACACACAAACACTCACATATGTGTATAGATACATCATTGTATGTACAGACACGTACAAAACGGAAGAGACTAAACCAACCAAACATGACAGCATGATGTTGTAGACAGTAAGTAATAAATGGCTTGAAGTTGACGACCACAGCTAACAAGGGACTGTGACACACGGACACAGGGATTGTGTTTGACACACTGACAATGAGACTACATGGCGAGCGACCCGATGGTCAGGAATTATTCAGACGTAGCACGGTCCGAACTGCTGTCCTATTTACTGACTCTCATACTGGGTCCTATCATAGGTTGCATGTCCTAATATTTGTCCTACCCATCCCAGCGAATAAATAACAGCTAGTGTAGAAAGACACCCATGTTAGAGAAACTCATTAGGCGCTAATGAATCATAAAACAGAATCAGTGAGAAACCTTTCAATCGCCATTTTCTGATGCATTCCCTAGTTTTTAAGGCAGCCCACATTGTGCAATGATTAGAACTGGGTTTTTATCATTGGGCAGACAGTGAGTCTAGATTCCAGCAGTTTTAGAACACATCAGTCGACACACGTGAGATCTGACAGGAATATTTCAGGCAAACTATTTGTACCTGATCCAGTACCTGATTCATCTGGTGCTAAAATATTCAAGGCAACCGGCAGGTTCAATCAACGAGAGATGTTACCGTGTGTATAGCTAGGGCTTGGTTTAAAGTTACCGTGTGTATAGCTAGGGCTTGGTTTAAAGTTACCGTGTGTATAGCTAGGGCTTGGTTTAGTGTTACCGTGTGTATAGCTAGGGCTTGG